CTATGTACTTGGTAAAGCCCAGTGCAATAAGTTACGAGGCTATTCTGTTTATGCACATAAGAACATAAGAACATAAGAACGAAGGAACACTGCAGAAGGCCTACTGGCCCATGCGAGGCAGGTCCAAGTCCCTACCGGCTTAAGCCAATGCACCCAACCTAGTCAGGTCAGGTCACATTGACTCAAGGGAGGAACACGGCAACCGACCCGTTAGCACAAGCTATCAGGTCTAACTCACACCCACCCACATCTACTCATGTATTTATCCAACCTATTTTTAAAGCTACACAACGTTCTGGCCTCTATAACGGTATTGGGAGTTTGTTCCACTCATCCACAACTCTATTACCAAACCAGTACTTTCCTATATCCTCCTGAATCTGAATTTTTCCAACTTAAAACCATTGCTGCGAGTCCTGTCTAGGCTAGATATTATCAGCACACTATTTACATCCCCTTTATTTATTCCTGTCTTCCACTTATAAACCTCAATCATATCCCCCTAATTCTACGTCTTTCTAGAGAGTGCAGTTTCAGGGCCCTTGTCTATCCTCATAGGAAGGTTTCTGATACATGGGATCATCTTTGTCATCCTCCTTTGTACATTTTCCAGAGAATTTATATCCATTCTGTAATACGGTGACCAAAACTGTGCAGCATAATCTAAATGAGGCCTAACCAAGGATGTATAGAGTTGAAGAACAACCTGAGGACTCCTATTATTTATGCTTCTTGATATGAAGCCAAGGATTCTATTAGCTTTTTTGCGAACACTTATGCACTGTTGTCTTGGTTTCAGATTACTGCTAACCAAAAACTCCTAAATCTTTTTCGCAATCCGTAATATTAAGATCTACATTATTTAGTTTATATGTGGCATGGTTATTGTCCTGTCCAACATTTAGAAACTTTGCATTTGTCTATATTAAACTGCATCTGCCACTTCTCCGACCACTGCATCAGTCTATTCAAATCTTCCTGGAGTGCTCGAATGTCCTCGTCAGAATGAATTCGACGGCCTATTTTGGTGTCATCGGAAAAACTTCCCGATGTCGTCTTTATGCCCTCATCTATGTCGTTTATGTAGATTGTGAACAGCGGGGGGCCCCAACACTGACCCCTGTGGAACACCGCTCGTGACGCTTCCCAACTCTGATTTCTCCCCATTTATGCAAACTCTCTGCTGCCTATTGTCAACCATGCCTCTATCCAGGAAAAAATTTTCCTCCTATTCCATGTGCTTTAATTTTCCTCAATAGTCTCTGATGTGGGACCCTGTCAAAAGCCTTACTGAAGTCCATATACACAATATATATTCGTTTACCATGATCTACCTCCTCAAATACCTTAGTGAAAAAAGTTAATAAATTCGTTAAAGGGAGGAACGTCCCTTTGTAAAACCATGCTGAGATTCGTTGATTAATTTATGCTTTTCAGGTGGCTACGAACTGCCTCGGCAATTATTGATTCCATAAATTTTCCACTATGGAGGTTAGGCTTATTGGTCTATAGTTCGAAGCTAAGGACCTGTCACCTGTTTTGAAAATAGGTATCACATTTGCCATTTTCCACTTATCTGGCACCATGCCCGTTTGTAGTGATATGTTGAAAAGATTAGCCAAAGGTGTGCTAAGCTCCTCTTTACATTCCTTTAGAACCCTTGCATACAGTTCATCAGGGCCCGGGGATTTGTTAGGTTTTAATTTATCTATTTGCCTAAGGACCATGTCACTTGTGACCCTAATAGTGCACAGTTTATTATCGTCCTGTTCTACATAATTTATCATTACTGGAATATCACTGGTATCCTCCTGTGTAAAAACTGAGAGGAAGTATGTGTTAAAAATTCTACACATTTCCTTATCACTGTCAGTGAGCTGACCCGAGGAACTTTTGAGTGGGCCTATCTTGTCCTGATCTTATTTTGTATACCTGAAAGAATCCTTTTGGGTTAGTCTTCGATTCTCTTGCAACTTTAACCTATAATTCTTTTTGCTTTTCTAATTCCCTTTTTTATTTCTCTCTTTAACTGAATATATCGATTTCTTAATTGCCCCTCTCCTCTTTTGATTTGCCTATATATGCCTCTCTTTTGACCAATCAGATATTTTAATCTATTGTTCATCCATTTAGGATCATTTTTGTTTGATCTGATTTCCCTATTTGGAACATAATTTGACCCGAGCAGCTAGAACTATGCCCTGGAAAAACATCATATCGGCAACCATCACCACCTACCTGACCCCCAGTCAGGTCATTCCAGTTCAGCCCACCTAAGTAATTTTTCAGTCCTATGAAATCAGCCAAGCGAAAATCAGGGACGGAGACTTGATTGCCATTATTAGGGGAATTCCATGATATGTTAAAACTGAGTGATTTGTGATCACTCTCCCCAAGCTCATCATTTAAACCCCAAGATTTATTAATTAGTGTTTCCCTACTGGCAAGAACCAAGTCAAGGAGGTTATTTCCCTAGTTGGCTCTGTCACAAACTGTTTTAAAAAACAATCCTGGATCGTATCAAGAAAGTCACCCGACTCTAAATTTCCTGTCAAATTGCTCCAGTCAATCTGTCTATAGTTGAAATCTCCCATTAGCACAACATTTCGTATGTAGATGCCTTACGAATTTCGTCCCATAGAAGTTTACTGCACTCCCTATCAAGATTTGGGGCCCTGTAAATCACACCCAAAATTAGTTTTTCTTTGGCCCTCGAGAAGCTGTAACCAAACAGATTCAGTGGCTGACGCTTCTAATTTAATATCTTGTCTAACACAACAATTTAAATTGTCTCTGACATACATCGCTACTCCACCACCCTTTTCCCGTTGACCCTGTCAGTGTGGAATAATTTATAGCCTTGTATGTGACATTCAGATGGCATCTCTCTATCTTTCAGATTGAGCCAGGTCTCTGTTATAGCAATAATATCTATGTTTCCTGCACTTGCAATTAATCTTAGCTCATCTATCTTATTTCTAACACTCCTGCTATTAGTATAGTAAACCCTTTAAAGGGGGCTAGTCCCTTGCTGCCCTCTGCTGTCCCCTTTGTTTTCTGACCTGTTCTATTGTCTTTATTTATAACTTCATGCTGAATGCCTTTTATACATTTACTGTTTCCAACCCTAGTGTTGCAACCTGCTTGTTTCCCACACACACCCATACCTCTATCTTCCATCAGTTTAAAATCATAGGCATTTCACCAATGGCCTTCTCAATCGAGTCTGCAAGTGCTACCACCCCTGCCCCAGAGAGATGAACCCCATCCCTTGCATACATATCATTAAAGAACTGCAAATTTACTATTTACAGTATGATGTGTTTATCAGCACAGCATCCACATCTAGTAAATGTCAGCAGTTAGCAGACAGGGAAGGACAAAAGTTAAGGTTGGCTATGGGGGAGAAGGAATAGGATTGGGAACTGGGCAAATGGCACCCTATTCCTCTTCTTGTAACTAGTAACTTCAGCATGTGACCTCCCTAAGGGAAGACAATACTTTCCCCTGTATTCATGAAAATTAGTATGCTTTCGATATTATTTTTTCAACACACCAGCCGTCTCCCACCGAAGCAGGGCGACTTAAAAGAGAAAAATAAAAGTTTTTCATGTTTAGATCACCCTGTAAAATGAAAAACAAGTTTTTTTTTTTTTTACATGTAGTAATTTATACAAGAGGAGGAGTTTTACACCTATTTGTGAATATATTTTAATATACAATACATACATATATTTATATTCTTAGCAAGGAGTGTGATGTCACCGTGGTTGTTTATATATTTATAGATGGGTTGTAAGAGAAGTAAATGCGAGGGTCTGGCAAGAGGCGTGGAGTTAAAAGATAAGAATCACACAAAAGTGGGAGTTGTCACAGTGCTCTTTGTTTGATGACACTGTGTTCTTGGGAGATTCTGAGAGAAGTTCCCAGAGATTGGTGGATGAATTTGGTAGGGTGTGCAAAAGAAGGAAAATTAAGGTGAATACAGGAAAGAGTAAGGTTTAGGGAGGATAACAAAAAGATTAGGTGATGAAGATTGAATATCAGATTGGAAGGGAGAGAGTATGGAGGGGTTTGAACGTATTCAGATATTTGGGAGTGGACGTGTCAGCGGAATGGGTCTATGAAGATGAGGTAATCATAGGAATTGATGAGGGAAAAGAGGAGTGTGCACTTAGGAGTCTGTGGAGACAAGAACTTTGCCCTTGGAGGCAAAGGGGGGAATTGTATGAGAGTATAGTTTTCCCAACGCTCTTATATGGGTGTGAAGCGTGGGGTGAATGTTGCAGAGGAGAAGGTGGAGCAGTGGAGTTGTCATGGTTGAGGGCAAAGTGTGGTTGTGAATATAATGCAGAGAATTCGTATAGTTTGGAAGTTAGGAGGAGGTGCGGTATTCCCAAAACTGTTGTCCAGAGGGTGAGAAGGGTTGTTGGGTGGTTCGGACATTAGAAAAGAATGGAGCGAAACAGAATGATTTAAAGAGTGTATCAGTCTGAGTGGAAGGAAGGCGGGTAGGGGTCGGCCTAGGAAGGTTGGGGGAGGGGGAAAAGGAGGTTTGTTGTGGAGGGGCTGGACTTCCAGCAGGCATGCGTGAGCTTTGTTATAGGAGTGAATGGAGGACAAATGGTTTTAATACTTGACGTGCTGTTGGAGTGTGAGCAAGTACATTTATGAAGGGTTCAGGGAAAGGCGGGCCCGGACTTGAGTTTGGAGATGGAAAAAAGTACAGTGCCTGCACTTGAAGGAGGGGTGTTATGTTGCAGTTTTAAAAAATGTAGTGTAAAGCCCCTTCTGGCAAGACAGTGATGGTAGTGAATGATGGTGAAAGTTTTTCTTTTTCGGCACCCTGCTTGGTGGAAATCGCCGGTGTGATAATAAATAATATAAATATAATTTTGATATATAATATTATATATATTATATATATATTATATATATATATATATATATATATTTTATATACACTACATACATACATCATACTTAGGAAAATAACTTGAACCTAATTGAATCTAACATAAAATAACCTAAGAAGGGAGGATCAGAATTCACTGCAACAGAGCTGTACCAGATGTTCATGAAGTTGATCATATTTTCCTGGTGTTGCACACATTTTACTCATCAAGAAAAGAAGCTAGTAGATATAACTGAGCTAGAATGTTTTATGTCTTATGTGTGTGTGCACCCCCCTCCACCCACCCACACACACACACCCACACACAGTATTTTCTACCTTAAGTGTTCCGAGGGCCACTGCCCTGCAGCCTGGTCCCAGACCAGGGCTGGGCCATGGAGAATGGCATGATCAGCCAGGTTGCTGGTTTACATACATATAGTACAAATCACAAATAACCCGCACATAGGAGAATGAAGTTATGACAATGTTTTGGTCCGACTTGTACCATTAATTTGTAAACAATATTGTGCCTTTTTATTCATTATACAGTACAAATACTTCTCTACAATACCAAGTCCTCTCAGAAGGACTTCACTACTTCTAAATTCAGAAAACTTTTGGAAAATGTTATGTGAATAGTGTTAGTCTGATGTTTTCAGAAAAATCAACTGGAGTAAAATCATGTTACTACCGTATATTCATATTCAATATGGTCTTTGTCACAGTACATACAGATGTACAAAGTTCAATGTACTGTACATACAATTTTGTTTAATATTGTCTTTATGAAAAGGGTATTAAGCAGTTAATACCAAAAATGAGAAATGGGCAAAACAAATAAGAATGATTTAGTAAGAAGTGTTGTAAGACAACACACAAAAAATTCTTAAATTTTATAAAAAAAAAACATCCCAACCCACAGACTTATTAGAAATTTAAACAGTCTAAAAATGCATATACAAAGAAAGAAAGAAAAGGGAAAACACTGAAAACAAAAGGCAGACAAGACTTGGTCTAAGGCAAACTTACTATTCAAGGTTGCACTAAGTAAATTAAATGTCAAAGATAAAATATAGCAAAATAATTTTAAGAAAACTGTCAAATCAAAGGTAAAAATGCAAAGGATGAAACAATTTTTCAAGTTGTATTAATAAAAGAAATAATATTCACTGAATGAGACTCAGGGCAACAAAAATAAATTAAATGGAGTCTACTGAGAAAAACAGATTATTATTAATACACTCATGAAAAAGCACTAAGCTCACAGGGCTTATATAGCACCCGAGGAATGGGATATAAACAGGGTTGATCTGAGGAAGGGTAGGGAAATTCAAATTTCTTGGATCAAGAGCCCTTAATCAGCATGAAAGCACTCTCGAAGTTTAACCAGAAAAAAAGTAATCTTACAAGACAGAAAATATGTTAGGTTTCAGTGTTTTCTTCAGTCCTTGTTTTTTATACAAGACTATGTAGAGTAGTTACTGACATTTCAATTGAATTATATATACTGTACTACAGTATACTGTACTAACATTATTAAAAAAAGTCCTTATGGCATGATATAAATCTAAAGGACACTGAATATATACATTAAATAAAGACATTTTTTTGAGAACTTACAATTAAAGTGTCATATTTCTGCCTTCAATGCTCATTGTAACAGCTCTACGAGCTTTGGATAGCCGCTTTCTTTCCTGAAAAGCTCGCAACTGTTTGTCTAACCGTGTCATCTCTTTCTTGGCAGCCTAGAAAAGGTAAATTATAATATAAACAACATGGTAAGAAAGAAAATTAAAATATGGTTTTGTTACTGTGGTGCAGTGCAACATTACTGACAAGATTATTACCAACATGTAATCAAACCACATCTTTTCTTTTTTCTTAATACTATTCATGAATGAATCTTCAAGCAAATAAAACTAAAATTAAAACACTGTAAGCATATGCAGTGGTTCCCAACCCATCAAATTCTACACTTATAGTAGAACCAATTAATGACTTACAAGCACTCATCAATTTATGACTACTACAAATACAGTATTCAAACACATTATTTTCAAAAAGCTTTTTTTTTTTCCTTGGCTACTTTACATTAGATGCATTTGTATTTCATTTAATGCATGTGCAGAGAGTTGGTGTTTAGTAGAGACTGGTAAATAAAGGAAGAATATTCAATAATTACAAATTTCTTAAAGTTAAATTATTTTTTTTTTTTCCCAACAAGTCGGTCGTCCCCCTCCGAGGCAGGGTGACCCAAAAAAGAAAGAAAATCCCCAAAAAGAAAATACTTTCATCATCATTCAACACTTTCACCACACTCACACATTATCACTGCTTTTGCAGAGGTGCTCAGAATACAACAGTTTAGAAGCATATACATATAAAGATACACAACATATCCCTCCAAACTGCCAATATCCCAAACCACTCCTTTAAAGTGCAGGCACTGTACTTCCCATTTCCAGGACTCAAGTCTGACTATATGAAAATAACGGTTTCCCTGAATCCCTTCAATAAATATTACCCTGCTCACCCCTCCAACAGATCGTCAGGTCCCCAAATATCATTCGTCTCCATTCACTCCTATCTAACACGCTCGTGCACGCTTGCTGGAAGTCCAAGCCCCCCGCCCACAAAACCTCCTTTACCCCTCTTTCCAACCCTTTCGAGGACGACCCCTACCCCTCTTTCCTTCCCTATAGATTTATATGCTTTCCATGTCATTCTACTTTGGAATCCATTCTCTCTAAATGACCCAACCACCTCAAAAAACCCCTCTTTTCCCTCTGACTAATGCTTTTTTAACTCCACACCTTCTCCTAATTTCCACACTCCGAATTTTCTGCATAAAATTTACACCACACATTGCCCCTTTGACAGGACATCTCCACTGCCTCCAAAACCCTCTCCTCGCTGCTGATTTCCCCCCAAGCTTCACATCCATATAAGAGTGTTGGTACTACTATACTTTCATACATTCCCTTCTTTGCCTCCATTTGATAACGTTTTTTGACTCCACATATACCTCAACGCACACTCACCTTTTTTCCCTCATCAATTCTATGATTAACCTCATCCTTCATAAATCCATCCGCCGACACGTCAACTCCCAAGTATCTGAAAACATTCACTTCTTCCATACTCCTCCCCAAATTTTATATCCAATTTTTCTTTATCTAAATTCATTTGATACCCTCATCACCCTTTCTCTTTTTTATGTTCACTTTCAACTTTTACCTTTACACCATTCTCAAACTCATCCACTAACCTTTGCAATTTTTTTTTAGAATCTCCCATAAACACAGTTTTCATCAGCAAAAAGTAACTGTGTTTAATTCCCATTTTGAATTGATTCCCATAAATTTTTAAACCCACCCCTCTCCGAACACCTAGCATTTACTTCTTTTACAACCCCATCTATAAATATATTAACAACCATGGTGACATTACAAACCCTGTCTAAAAACCTACTTTTACCGGGAAGTATTCTCCCTCTCTTCTAACCCCACCCCAACCTGAGCCTCACTATCCTCATAAAAGCTTTTACAGCATTTAGTAACTTACCACCTATTCCATAAAACTTGCACATCTGCCACATTTTCTCTCTATCCACTATCATATGCCTTTTCTAAATCCCTAAATGCAATTAAAAACTTCCCCACCTTTATCTAAATACTGTTCACATATATGCTTCAATGTAAACACTTGATCTACACATCCCCTACCCACTCTGAAGCCTCCTTGTCATCCGCAATTCTACATTCTGTCTTACCCCTAATTCTTTCAATTATAACCCTACTGTATACTTTTCTGGTATACTCAGTAAACTTATTCCTCTATAACTTTTACAATCTCTTTTGTCCCTTTCCTTTATATAAAGGGGACTATACATGCTCTCCGCAAACCCTAGGTACCTTCCCCCCTTTATACATTTATTAAACAAAAGTACCAACCACTCCAAAAACTTATCCCCCCCTGCTTTTAACATTTCTGTCATGATCCATCAGTTCCCAGCTGCTTTACCCCCCTTTCATTCTACGTAATGCCTCACGTACTCCACCACACTTACATTCTGCTCTTCTTCACTCCTAAAAGATGGTATACCTCCCTGGCCAGTGCATGAAATTACCGCCTCCCTTTCTTCCTCAACATTTAAAAGTTCCTCAAAATATTCTCGCCATCAACCTAATACCTCCCTCTCCCCATCTACTAACTCCCCTACTCTGTTTTTAATGGACAAATCCATACTTTCCTAGGCTTTCTTAACTTGTTTAACTCACTCCAAAATTTTGTTCTTATTTTCATTAAAATTTCTTGACAGTGCCTCTCCCACTCTTTCATCTGCTCTCCTTTTGCACTCTCTCACCACTCTCTTCACCTTTCTTTTATTTTTATTTATTATTATTCCTTAACTTATAACTTTGAAGAGTTTCGAGAGTTTCTCTATCTGAGCCTGGCCATGGGCCAGGCTCATCTGGTGCTTGCCTGGTCAACCAGGCTGTTGCTGTAGGCCCTTTGTTATTTTTCATTATATGACTGAATATTTGTTAACCCTTTCAGGGTCCAAGGCCCAAATCTGGAGTCACGCACCAGTGTCCAAGAATTTTCAAAAAAAAAAATTTGTTATTTGGTCTTATGAAATCGTTAGTCAATCTTTTTGTGAAGGTTAATAAAACAATAAGTACGATCTTTGGAGAAAATTGACGAAATTATGCTCTCCGAAATTTGATATGCAGCGATTATTTTCGAATCGGCGTATTGCACGACTTTATTAGACTCCCTTTTATAGGCCCAATTACAAATTATTCCAATCACCAATTTCTTAGTATTTACATAGTATTACTTCTATTAATCGATTGTGCACAAGGGATTAATCGCCAAGTCAACTGTTTCAACTACTAATAAATGTGATCAGAAATTGTTTAATTTGGCCAATATATACAAAGTTCAAAATATTCAATTTCAAATTAGGGTCCAGAATAAAACAATTGTCGGCATTCCTGGCACTAACACTAACATCTTCCTTGTTCATTAGTTATGTTTTGATGGCTGTACAATAAATTCCATTTGATTTTTTATTCACATAATGAATTTTTAGTCACACCAAAAAATAGAAGAATAACTGTTATGCAATATTGTAATTAATTGTAGAACTATCATCACATATTTGTGAATGTATATTAGACCACCAGTGACGTGTATTAGACGTGTGAGGTCGTTTGTTTACTCTTGAATATCGGCAAAAAAAATTTAACATTTCCGCTACTTTGAGCTCTGGTTCAGCCTTTTCATTGCTAAAAAACCATCAAATCATCCTCTATTTCTGTAATATGTCTTCCATTATATAAATGAGACCAAGAAATCGCTTTACAAACTATAAAAAAACATACGAAAAAACACTGCCAAGTGCTTTTTATCGAAAAATCATCGATTTCAGGTTTTTTCTCTCATCATACACAGTGTGCTCGCAGGATCTGTTTGATGTGGTGCACACTACCCACCATAGATGTAAATCTCTCAATCTGAGGCCCAAATGTACCACTACAGTTTATCAGAGTGAGCTGAGATCATGGGTAGATCTACGTTTGGACACTCACCGTAAAGCCGTAGATCTACGGGACGGACCCTGAAAGGTTTGTAAATGTTCAAGTTATTCATACATGTTTGGCTCTATTTGTTTGGTAAGAAAAGTGGTTTAAAAACGGTTAAACACAGATAACCATTATTTTTTTGAGTGACGGATGTTTGTGTAGTACACTTGGTCATGAGGTGAGGCAGCAACTGTGCTTCTGCTACCACTACTACCCCCACCACAACCACCATTATCACCACCCCCAATCAGGCCCACAGTAACCTTTACTTCACCATATGTTAAGATACTTTATTAACCCTTTCACCAGAACAGTGAGTGGCATGGGAGGGTACATGACCTAGGGCATGGGGTCTGCTTAGTAGTGTTGTAGTTGTGTTAAAGGGTGTAGTAGTGTAAGGGGGTGGAGAAGTGTTAAGGGGCACAGTAATGTAAGGGGTGCAGTAGTGTAAGGGATGGAGTGGTGTAAGGGGTGTAGTAGTGTAAAGGGGTGTAGTAGTGTATGAGGGTGACTGGTATAAGGGGTGTAGTAGTGTATGGATGGAGTGGTGTAAGGAGTGTAGTAGTATAAGGGGTGGAGTAGTGTTAGGGGTGGACTAGTATAAGGGTGGCGTAGTGTAAGGGGTGGAGTAGTGCAAGGGGTTAGAGTAGTGTAAGTGGGTAGAGCTAGTGCAAGGGGTGGAGTAGTGAAGGCGTGAAAGTAATGTAAGAGGTGGAAGTAGTGTTAATGGGTGGAGTAGTGTTAAGGGGTGGAGTAGTGTAAGGGGAGTAGTAGTGTTAATGGGAGTTAGTAGTAGTGTAAGTGGAGTAGTGTAAGGGGAGGAGTGTAACGGGGAGTAGTGTTAAGGGGGCGAAAATGTAGGGGAGTAAGGGGCCCGCAGTTGTAAGGGTGGAATAGTGTAAATGCTGGAGTAGTGTAGGGATGAAACAGTTGTAAGGGTGAGTACCTGGGGTGGAATAGTGCAGGGGTGGAGTAGTGTAGGGGTGAGTAGTACTGGATAGATTATTGTTGGTATGGAGTTGTAGAGATGGAGTAGTTATATGGGTTGAAGGGTAGGGTGGTGTAGTGTATTGGGATGGAGTAAGTGTAGGGTTGGGTAGTGTAGTGTGGAGAGGGTAGGGTTGGTGTAGTGTAGGGTTGGAGGTTAGTGTAGG